GATATACTATGCTTGTTTAGTAAAAAATTGACACAATATATTATAAGTGTATTAAAATGTGTGATAAATGTATTTACATCAATAATACTTGTATTATATGTGTCTTTTTAATAAATTGTTCCAGTGAAAGAAAATGTTATTACTGTAAATGGTAAATATTTTCTTAATATAACATATTTATGTAAGTTTCTAGTTTTCCTATATCGGAGCAAATAGACGAATTAACAATTTCAGCTTCAAAACTATTCAACATTAAATTTTTTTTTGTCCAAAATATTCCTAGCTATTAGAGTTTGAAACTTTTACATGTGATAATCTAATACAATGTACTGGAACAAATCTGTAAGTTTGAAATACGTAGTTCAAACTCCAGAAAAAATTTATGGAGCTTGAATTGTCTTGCCTCTCTTGGCGTTTGAACTATACATTTGAAACTCCAATATATTGTGCTCGAGTATTTTCCATGTTGGAGCTAGAATTTTTTTTCAAAATATTATTTTTACTTTAAAAATCATTTTGAATAATAGCTAATTATTAATAAGCGATCCAAAAACTAGTCATACTAACTTAGCTTTTACCTTTTTGTCATGAGCAACGTATGTACACTTTGTATACGATAGGGGTCAATTCATTTGGGGTTGTAAGTTGTAACAACAATAATATATTCATTGTAATTTCATAAGTGGAGTCTGAAAAGCGTGAATTACAGATAAGAATTCTTAATAATTTTTAAGTTAAGGTGCAGAATAGTTCTACGGATTTATTCTTAAGAGTGAAGCTAGGCTTTTGTATCAGATCTGTTTGGTTCTACTCAATCATACTGCAATTACATAATGCTTATTAATAGAGAGTCAAACAACATAATTGAGATTAATTGCTTGTTGCTAAATATAAGGCCAAACCTTTTGACCTATAGCTCACTGCAAAAATACTAAGATTATGGACACTTGGAAATACGCGCAAAAGTTTATTCAATTTTTGAATTCAAAGTGTCTAATAAAAACACTTTATCATGTATTCAGATGCTCAATTGGAACAAGTGATAGTTCAAGTTTCTAAATAAGCCTAATATATATCTCAAAGATACATGTTATGCAACGGACATAAACATTCGACAACTTGTTTGGGATTTAAACATGATTATTATATTCGGTTTCTTACGTGCACATCAAATAAATTATCAGAAAAAATTATAAGTTTTCCCATCTTTTCACTCTTTCACATCTCGGAGAGACGAGACTTGCTTTGCCTGGCTTCAAATAGGAAAATCTAGCCAATTCCACAACAACATACCCAAGTGTAATCCCACAAGTGAGACCTGAGGAGGGTACAATATATCCAATGTAATCCTGCAAGTGAGACCTGAGGAGGGTAGATTGTATGCAAACGTTACTCCTACTTTGAGGGATAGAAAGGTTGTTTCTGATAGACCCTCGGCTCAAGGAAAAAGATAAGGCAGAAGTAAAAATGTCATAGCAAAATACTATAGGAAGCATGACAAAGCATTCTCGAGAAAGGAGCAGCAACTATAAAAAAAATAATAAGAAAATTGTACAGTCAACATGCCATGCACATGTATCCTTCAAACTCTTCTCTACTCTTCCTTAGCTCCTTATAGATCAGAACCACAAATTTATGTGTCTCTTCTGCATGTAGAGAGAGAGAGAAAGAGGAAGCAGTTTGAGAACCATTTTGAGATGACAAGCAACACTCAAGCTGTGAAACATTAATCTATATTTACTAAAGACAGCCAAGTGAGGCCATTCTTGTTAGGTTACCCACAACTCTTTACACATCTTCTGGACATAAGATAAAAGCAAAAGCATGAAAAGGAACCTGCACAGTCAAAACACTGGAAGATCATATGGAGTTCTGCTGCTGCTCGCATTTGGTGCCGCCGTATTTGGAATTATGACTCTCCACAAGCTCAGGGACAGGCGCATCTGCAACCTCTTTGTCAAGGAGAAAGAACGTGAACTCGATGGCCTTAAACTCCTCTTGCAGGTTCCTCTCTCTCCTCTGTGTGCGCTGAATGAAAAAAAGAAATCTTGTCCATGGCTAACATTCTATTTACATGCAAAATCAGGAAACAATACTTCCCTATATAGACTTCTGTTGTTAGACTTATTTTGATAAAGTATGCCAGGAATTACACTTGAAACCATATCTGCCTCTACAAAGAACAACAAACTGAAAGAGTACATGTTGCTTAACGGGATTAAAATAAACAGGTTTTATATAACAAATTTCTGGCAAAATCTGATGTTAAATCAGATCAGGTGACAAATATCACAGACCCTGGATGTTAAATCAATCATTGAATGAACAAAAGTGCATTTTAATTTCATAAAAGGGAAAAGATGGATGATAAATTTGTAAATCTACCGTGTTAAGCAGATAATTGTACAAAGTAATCTATGATCAGTAGAGTTTTTCAATGAGACTAATAACAATAGTCTTTATCTTCTGCCATTAGCATAATTTTGTGTTTATTATGCTACCCAAGCTAACATTATTTGTCACCTGTGACAGAAAGAAAGAGAAAAGGCAAAAGAAACCAGAAGGCAAATGGAGGACATGAAATCCAATATACACTGGCTTGGTATGCAGAAAACAGATCTTGACAGTAGGATATCAGAGATGAAGTCAACGATCTCTTCCCTTAAGGAAGAACAAAGAACAATTGAAGTTGCTCTTGAGGAAAAGCAGAGTGAGATTAAGATGCTTAGGGAAAAACAGATGGAAACAAAGTCTGATGATTCCCAGGTTACACTACTTTCTGAAACTTTGAGACAGAAAGAGGCTGAAATTGAGGATTTAAAACACCGTCTTGAATTTTCACCAACAAAGGTCTTGTCAGTAAGTGCAGATGACCCATCAAATCCAGCAACAAATTTCACCACCGAGGCTGCTGGAAGAAGAAGCAACAGTCGAAGAGGAGGTGGAGAATTGCACGAATCCATCAAAATAGAAGTCCAGGAAAATTCAGTAAAAGAGACAGGCAGCAAGGCCAATGAAGCTACCCATTACAAAAAGAAGGAAGTCACTGGAGAAGGTGAAAACACGGGAAAAACTGGGGAGAGATTTGACAACGTGAAACGGAAAGCTGCATACGAGCAGTCTAAGCAGCTGGAAACTTCTCAAAAAGATGTTCCAAGCAGCAACACCACCATTTTTCAAACTAATAAAGGCCAAATACAAAACACTGACAATCATAAGAATAAGGAAGAATCTTACCTAGATGAGAAAACGTACACCAGTGACAATGCATCTAAGGAAAATGAGCATGATAGAAATCAAGTGCAAAAGCAAAACTATGAAGTTGGAACGAATGACAAAGGAGTGACTAAGATAGAAATGCAAAAGAATTCAAACAGCAGAGGAACATCAAGAGTGAGCAAGGACCACATGAGAACCACAAGAGGGAAGAGACGGCAAATAATTGCTAAGCGCCAAGTAGATGAAAGTGGCATGCATCTGGAAAGTCGTGGAATTGCAAGCATGAGAAACAGAAAATTCTTGAAAGTAAGAATGGGAACTGAAAGGGTCTCGAGGGTTAGAGGCAGCATACTGGAAATAAGGGACCATCAGAAAGACAATGACATGGACGTGGACATGAGGAAGAAATCTGACGAGGAAGATTACGGGATAGAAATGACCAAAAAAATTCAACAAGGTGAAGATTCAGCATTACAAAACAACAACCAGATAAGGTCAGAACAAGGAGCAAATCCAGATACAGGGAGACACAGAATGCAAGATGTTGGCACAAATCATGATGATAATTCACCTGGTAAGACATGGCCAAACCCTAACAATTTTGCAGATGCAGAGGAAGGGAACCAAGAAGTCATGAATCATGACATGACTCAGAAGATTGAGAAAGAGCAGGAAAGAGAAGTCAGCAACAAAGAGACTGAGCTGCTCCAGAGTTCTCAAGAAGAAGGGTCCGCAAATACACCTCTTTCAAAGAAGAGTAGCATCTCAGAAGAGGCCAGAAATCAAAAAGCAGATGAAGTAGTACAATCAGAGGAAATAATCAGCACCATCAGAGAAGATACAGAGCCAAGGCAAGCTCAAAGTCTTTCAAATTCTTCTGAACATGTGACAATTGCTGAAAGGGATGTCAAAGAAGATGACAACCAAGAGGTTGACTATTATCAGGAACCAAAAGAAGCGGAAGATCATTCTGGAGGATCACAAGATGCCAGAAATCAAAAACCAGATAACACTGCACGAACGGAAGGAGAAACCGACAGAGTCAGAGAAGATAGAGACCAAAAGCATGCACTCAATCTTCATTATCCTTCTAACCATGTAAAAACTGCTGAAAGGGATTTAAGAGACGATTACCTTGAAGCTGAGAATGATAAGAACACAGAAGAAGAGGCAGGCAATACAACAGGCTCTGCTGCCAGCTTGGGAGAGGAGGGAGAAGATGGGGACCACAACGATGAGGTCTGAATTTTAGTCTAACAGCAGTGCAAGAAAGTGTTATCATTATGCTCCATTTAGATCACTGAAAGTATTCATAACTAAGCTAGCTTAGGGAAATACTTCCATTTCTATCCCCAGATGTTAAGTTTAGGCATTTGTTGCTTCCATTCACTAATTACTTTATGTCTTTTCTAAACAACTCAATGTCCCCAGCCCAGCCCCTCTGATCAAAACCACATACACACGAAAAAGAACTCATGCCCTCAAATAGATATTGGAAAAGGAAAATCAGAAAAGTATAACCAGGTACTATAAAATAGAGCAAAGGAAAAAGGAAGCCTCCTCATGTTCACTGGGTAAAGGCAAAATCGAGGCATTTAACTTTTAGCCCCATGGTTTTGGAAGACAAGTAAATGGTAAGAATACAGATTGAAACTAAATCACCCTTACGAATGTCTCATCACTGTCATTAGATATTCACAGATTGCATGATATTCAAACTACGGGCTCTGAAATGCATGTGTAATTTAGACACTGCATAAGCAAGACGAAGATATCCAAGAGAAGTGAATGGGCAGAACCATTTCGTATATTGTTATAATATTAGGAGAACTGCACTGTACTGGTGAGCCAACCAAGTTTTGTCTATGAGTAACTAGCTCAAGAACTCTAATTTGTCATTTATAACAACAGGATGAAGCCAATACAAAGAAAAGAAAGGAACTTATGTCATGTCCACCAATTGGATTATTAGAGAGAAACTGAGACCTAGGACTTGAAAAATTCTCAACCATGGGATAACGCCCTGTGAATTCACACCTTACTGAGCTGCTTGCACCAATGTCTGCAAAAATAAGAAATAAATACGAAGTGTATGTCATTACTCACGATCAAAGAAGGTTTGTTATGATCCCCTGATATGGATCTGGTTATGGGGCGTTGTAGTGTGAAATCAAATGTTTTCTTCCTACGACCTATGGTGCTGGTTCGTTAAGAGAGAACCTGCAATCTCTTGAGTTTGAAGTACTCAAAGACTTGAATAATTTTCTGCTTCCTTTTTTTTCATACACCAGATAGTTTAAATACAATTCTTATAAAATAACTACCCCTAGAAACTAGGACATGACTTCCTAACTTAACTGAAATGTAAGACTGCACTATTACAGGAAAATAACTGCTACTAAAGAGAAATTACTGCAGTAACTATTGGATAACTAGTAATTCCTTTGACTTGGTAATAGTGGGGTTCCATATATATGCCTCTCTTTGGCGGACATGGGCAACACAAATCAACCCATTGACAGAGCCGACAATGTGAGTTGATAAAGTGGTTCTTTCGATGGGGGAATCGATGTGGAATAGCTCCTCAATGAGTTGTTGTTATGGTCCCCGGTTATGGATCTAGTTATGGGACGCTGCAAGATAAATTCTGAAGTTTTCTTTTTTCTACCTATGGTGCTGGTTCGTTAAGAGAGAACCTGCAATCTCTTGAGTTTGAAGTACTCAAAGACTTGAATAATTTTCTGCTTCCTTTTTTTTCATACACCAGATAGTTTAAATACAATTCTTATAAAATAACTACCCCTAGAAACTAGGACATGACTTCCTAACTTAACTGAAATGTAAGACTGCACTATTACAGGAAAATAACTGCTACTAAAGAGAAATTACTGCAGTAACTATTGGATAACTATGGAGTGATAACAAGGTTCCCCTTCCTAGGAAAGAAAGAAGGATTTACAAATGAATTGATTACTTTTCAGCATATACTCGCTTTCACAAAAAATAGGCAGCAACTATTTCTAGTAGCAACTATTAAAGCTCCACACCCATCCCCACCCCCGAAAAAGGCATATTATACTCTCCGTCCCAATTGATAGCACACTCATTCTAATTTGTGTACTAATACCTTCTACTAATATCAGTACCTTGTACTCCTGTCACAAGTTTCAAAAAATCAAATTCATTTTACAAATCAAATTTGAATTATGATGTCAGTTCTTTTAATAATCAAACTAACTTTCATACCACTTCCACTTTAATATTTTCTTCAACTAATATATATTACAATACTCAAATTATGTCTTAGACTCTGCATTTAGCAAATGTGCGACATAATACAGCTTCAATCATATAGTGTGACATAAAATATGACCAAGGTACCAGCAACATGTCACGACCCAAACTAGAGAAGGCGTGACTGACACTCGACACCTTGAGCAATCGAGTTACCCACATAAACATACCAACTGACTCAACTGAGGGATTAGAAGGTCGGGCAGCATAACATCTAAAATACTATGACTGGACCCTTAAGGTCATAACCTGAATATCGGTAAGTCATATAGACGAAGGTAGACAAGCCAAAGATAATAAGGTACTAGCTAGCCGACAAAGCTACAATGAAGATATGCACACATACATACATATCTATACATGCCAAGCCTATGTGGCTGGAAACTGGAAGCTGCAGAAAGAAATCCAAAATACTGTGTCCACAATAGCCTCTATGAGTGACATAAACATTGGTCGGGACAAGGCCCCATTATACCCAAAATGTACTATAAAAGTAACATCCTATGAAAGCTCCAGGAAGAAGTGGAGCTTACCAACTCACAGTTGAACCCCGAATCCTAGCAGAGGGGTCAATCAGAATCCCTACCTGGACCTACACGCACGAAACAAAAATGCGTCCCCAGGCAATGGGACATCAGTACGAATAAAAATGTACTGGTATGTAAGGAAGAAAATAGAATAATAAATAGTTACTGTAAAAAGGGGAATAAAGATACAACCTGAAACAGAAACTCTGGTAGCCGCCATGGCTGACATCAAACCTTTTATAAATTAAATATGCATGGTATGCTCGCATAATCGTATGTCGTGAATACA